TAAAGCCTCTGGAAAAGTTATTCTAAAGGAATTAAAAAAAATATTAATTTTTGTAGATTTTTGGGATAGTAAAATTCTAAGTGGATGGATGAATTTATTCATCTTATAATTTTGTGTGTTGGTATTTTTAATTTTTGTGTTTAATTTCACCTTAGTAATCATTTTTGTGCTTAAATCTTTATTTTTGAGAGTGATTACTGATAGAAAATTGGATCTAGTTTATACTTAGTGGTGTAAAAATTTCATAGTACTTACCAAAATAATTGTGGAAAAAAAAAATGAAAATCAGAAATGTTTATGTAAAACCAGCTTCAGTAACATTTTAATATATTCTTGATTCATATATAAATAAACACAAACTAGTTTTAACTTCAACTAAACTGTATATTCAAATGTAAAATAATAATTGCCGGGTCGGCTAGTAGTTTATGAATAATTAATAGTTTTCAAAATATTACCAGTCTAATTTTATGTTATTTATGTACCCGAAGTTGGGCACTAACTATTTAGTAAAAGTGTTAAAGTAACTTTCTCACTTACCAAGTTAGATTTAATTTGTATTAATTTTGGAACTCAACTAATTGAATTTAAAGTGTTAATTTATCAAATCTTGAATAGAATTATAATTAACTAGTAGTTGTTGTAGTTATTTTTCATTTCAAAGATCCAAATGTTTCCTAAAATTTCTGAGTTTTGACTACTTTTATCTATAGGTATGGTCATAATTAATTTATTAATAATGAATATTGAGTATTTTTAATTTTATGATAATACATTTTTCTTGTCATATTATTTTTAATTATGGTATAATAACAAAATAATTGCCTTAACACAACTCTTTTAAAATCAGACGTTTGTAGAAGCCTTAACATAATTTTAACAAACTCTTTACATTTATATTTTAAAATAGAAATAAAGTTTGTGAAAAACTTTGACTTTGACTTAAATTTAAGTTGCCATATCCACCAAACTAACTTCTAATTAACTAAGTTAAAAATTTGGAAAATTTCAGAAACTAACTCATATTTTAATCTAGTTTATGTAATTAAGTAACTTAATTTTAACTAGTTGAAAAAAATGATTTAACTTCTCTAGCTCTGTTTACACCACAAACCTATAACACCATTTTATGATATTTGGTACTGACTCACAAATTATTTAAAGTTAATTGCAATATTAGATTCTATGTTTTTAGCAATAGTCAGCTCAAGAACATATTAATAACAAAAATTAAAAGGTCATATCAACTCTGCTCTATTTTTGTTGTATGCAATGCTTATAAATGAACTCTAATTTAACATATTCAATATTACAGTGCCTTACACTATAAGGTATACTCATACCTATTGTACAGCAGCTACTGAATATGCCTTCCAAGTTTTTCTTATTTAATTTTCCAGTCTCTGAAATTTTAAGTTGGAAACTATTTGAAGGGATTAATTATATTTTAAATCAATATACTGTGATTTTAGTTTTAAATTATTCCAATGTAATAGACTATCTTGCTTTCAGACTTTTGAATACTCGTTCTTAATTATATACATTTTGTTCTTTGTTCATAATATATGTTAATGTATATAAAATAATTTAACACTGTTTAACAATTTTTTTTTAAGATTCATTGTTGAAAAATGTGATGGAAATTTACGAATTGAGAATCGTAAGAAATCTGAAATGATCAAAGAATTGGTGAGACGAGGTTATAATAGTGATCCCGTCAAGGCTTGGAAATTAATTCAAGATCGAGAATCAGTATTGGTAATTTATTTATTCAATTTTTTTACTAAATTTATAAAACAAGAAAGTATAATATCATAAGTTATGTACATTTATTCTTATTTTTATTTCTCTGCAGTTAGACGAAGCTCAAAGAATTGATGAAGAAACTGAAGATGAAGCTGCTCCATCAACTAGTGCCACATCTAAAGACGATGACAATTTAGACTATGATTATTTGCTTGGTATGTCCTTCTGGCATTTGACATTGGAGAAAAAGAATGAACTGTTAAGAAAGAAAGAAGAAAAATGTACAGAATTAGATATCTTAAAGAAAAAGTCCCCTGCTGATTTATGGACCGAAGATTTAGATGCATTATCATCAAAAGTATGTACAAATTATCATGTTAATTAAGTTATAAAATGCAATTAACTTTTTATATAGTTTCACAGTTTCACTTTAAAACTTAAGTTAACCATCAAAATATGTATAATATGTTTTGAACATTCACTTAGTTATTATAAATAAATAATAATAACAATTTTCAATAGTAAAAATAGGGTTAAATAATTAAGTTGAATATATTTATTATCAAATATAATTTTTATTAATGCATGCAAAAACCAAAATTATGTAAAGCTAAATAATGATAAGAAATTGATAAAATAAGTTTTTACATTATAAAATATACTGGGAAAAAATTGAAATACAGTCTTATAAAAAATGATATTCCACAATATGCCTGCCATAATATGTAGTAAATATGTGCCAAAAATGGTGGGGTTTCAAATTTGTTATACAACTAAAAACATATTTCTATGTTTTTTAATAATTTTTTGGATTATTGAATTATAATATATAAATTCAATTAGTCCTAATCCCTAGTTATTACTTATTAATACATTTCTATAAATTTATATTGAGTTTAATTATTAGTTTTATATTTCAGTTGGATGAAGTTGAAGAAAAAGAAAGACTCGATGAATTAGGTGATGAATCTGGAAAATCAAAATCAGCTGCTAAAGGTGGCAAATTAGCACTTGGGAAAAAAAAACCACTTGTGGCTGCTGATTCATTACCATCGCCTGCTGCAAGACGTGTAATTCCTAAAATTGATGCTGAAATGTTGAAAAAAGAAGAAAAGATAATAGCTGCTAAGGAAAATAAAGGAAAACGTGCTGTGAAAAAGGTTTGGATCGGTTTGGATTATAATAGTATTTTTTCTTGTTATTAAAGTAAAATGTTTAATTTATTAATTATGAAATTAGAAAAAAGGCGAAGGTGAAGAAGGAGGTGATGATGACTCAAAACCAGAGAAAGAAAAGAAAGCTCCTAAAAAGAAAACAGATGGTTTAAAACAAACCAAATTGAAGTTTGACAAAATTGATGACGACGATGATGATGGTGGTGGTAATTTGTCAGATTCTCCTCCACCGCCTCCTAGAACTGTTACGAAACGCCAAGCTGCTAACATATCGTTTAAACTTGATGATGACGACAATGATGAAGATGATCCGGCAAATAAATCTGACCAAAGTCTTTTTAATTCACCAATACGTGATGCATTTTCTGATGAGTAAGTATGATTTTAAATTTAAGCATTAAATGGCAAATTCTAAAATTGATTTCCACTTGGACAAATTGTCTTGATGATTTGTATCCACTATTTGTCTGGTGTATATTTTATAATTATGTCCAACATCATTGCTGCGGTTTGTTGTTGACTAAACAGTAAATAATGTGGGTGGCATATGAATTAATTTTGTATTAAACCAAAATCTATTAACCTTTTAAATTTTAATTATTATACTTGTGGAAATAACATTATTTTATTTATTATTTTAGATAATTAATGTTAATGAATGTTTTGATTTTAAAAGGATATTATTATTGTGCGTGTATCAATTGTGAATCAGTAAAAATGGTTACATTTTCAACTTAATGATCTTTTCTGGAAGGAAATTTAATTTTGCTAGTAATTTGGGAGATAAAAAATTCTCAGTGCTCTTCTTAACAATTTGGAAAACTGGACTTAACGTTAAATCAGGAATCGAACATTTTATAACTGTCGATGATCTTAAATTTAAAACCAAATATTAAAATTATTTATGTTTTTATTTTTATTTTTTACTTTTAAAATATTTTAAATTATTTTTGAGCAATTTATAGATATTTTAAATTTATGAATTTATTTTATGTCATTTTTATATATGTATTTAAAATATTCCTAATAAGTTATTGAATCTGAAAACAAATTATTTAAAAAAAAATGTATAACCATTGCCTATATATACCACCAACCTATTCACACCGTTTTACATTAAGGTGGTGGTATTGACAAAAAAATTTAAAAATGTTATTAATATATCCTATTATACTATATAAATATCAATAAATTTTTTGTTCTTTGGTAAAAAGAATTCAACTTAATACTTATAGTAAAATAAAGTACTCAAACAGAAAATATTTAAGACCACAATATCATGAAATAGGTATGCTTGGTAATATAAGCTGACAATGTTCCTTGCTCAGAATCGTTTTTTCGTACTTAGTGATTTCTCATTGGATTCAAATTTAACTCATGTATTATAGTGACTTACTAAATGACGAAATACTCTAGACACATGCTGTACATCGTTACCTGCATTTTCTCTTTTTACAATTTTTAACACTACATTAAAAAATCAAGTTTTTATTTCAATGTGATGATTTTTATTTATTTTATAAGAATGAAGTTTGAATTATATTTATTTTTAGGGCTACATCAGATGATGAGTTTGTACCGAAAAAGAAGAAAGAGTCTCCTAAGAAGGCTGCTAAAAAAGCCCCTGCTAAGAAGAATAATGGTACAGCTAGTACCAAAGTAACAACAGAGGATGAACCTGTAGCAAAAAAACCTGCTAAAAGAGCACCGGCTAAAAAAGCACCAGCTAAAAGTACTTCTGTGGTTTCTATTAGTGATGAGGATGACGATTCACCTGTAACTAAACCGATTAGAAAACCAAGAGCAGCTGCTTCTAAACCGAAACGTAAATTGAGCTCCTCAGATTCAGATGATGTGTTCAAATCTCCATCTACTAGTAGTAAGTTTGTCCATACACTAATTTTTTTAAGCTATTGAAATGTCTTATGTTCTTCTTATCTTATTTAGATAAAGCGCAAAAATCTTTTGACGATCTATTTGGAGAAAATACTAAGAAGAAGGTTATGTCTGATGACGATGATGATAGTTTTAAAATGTCTAATTCATCAGATGACGATTTTGTTCCAAAATCAGGTATTTCATTTAAATAATGAACATTTTATTTTCTTCTTTATAAAACTAATATAAGTATATCAGATTATGCCTAACCTAGAAATTTATGTTCTATTATATTTACAGCAGTTTACCTAACAAAAAATTCATGTTGGTTTTTCATTCTGTTCCAACGTTATTGTCATCAGTTTCAGACTTGGATTTGCTTAATTCTTCCCCATAGTTTTCTAACTCTTTAATTGTCTTTGCTAGTTGCATATTCTCTTCTTCCATTTCCTGAATTTGACTCATCATACTATCATAGTTGGCCTTCAGCATTTTCAGTTCTTCTCTTTCGATAACAGTTTCTGTCATATGAGTGCGAATATAATCCAATGGATCTGTCGGTCTTATTTCCAATCGATAAAGATTTGCTAATACATTAGTCAAAGCATCAATAACACCTAAATCATTTAAATATTTTTTGAAATCTTCACGTTTGTTGTTACCAGAATTTCCTTGACTTGCCATTTTTGAACAATTTCACATTAAATACTTGTCCAAGTGAAAATATTAGTGTGTTTATTATTTATTACTGTAACCAAGCTTTTTTTTATTTACTATGATTATTATTGTTTTGTTGTAATTTTGTTTAGTAGTTAAATTATAATTAATAAACATTTGTTTTTATTAGGAACTAAAAAAAAGGCTTCGACAAGAAAACCTCCTGCAAAGAAGGTTAAAGCAAAATCTCCTTTTGATTCATATTCTGATTAAACCATTTATGTACTTCTATGATGCATGTTAAATTATGAATTCTTGTTGTATCATAAATTTATCTTTTCTGTTATTTTCTTGAAGAACTTACTACATGTATGTCTATAATAGATGATTAATTTAAGTACCTAATTTATGTTCAGTTTAAACTATTGTTAAGGAATTTTAAAGAGCACTTGAAAATTTTCAGAAAAATGTACAAGTTTTTTTTACTTATTTATAAATTATATATATTTTTTGTATGTGTATTTCTGTAAAATCTGATTCTCACTTCTGAAATAGTGTAGAAATTACCAATTTCAATTTATTTTATTTTAAATAGTTTTAAAATTTTTAACAGACATAACTTGTAATTTGTAGTATTATAGAATAATAATGAACAATACATTTTTTTTATACGTTTATTTATACTTTAATAAAATATTTACAAATTTGTATAAATGGTATATAAATATTATATTATTATTTTTCAGAGCTTCTGAAAATGTACAAGCACAATTTTTTCTAGAATTTATAACAAATCAATGAATAATACATGTTAGGGATGTTTGATGTTATTTAGTATATTAATATTGCTGAATTTCAGTTTGATAAATAATGACATACGTGAATAATTTCAGTATAATTGTTTTAAATACTATTATTAATTGTACCACTCGTGAACAGAAATAGTAATTTTTACATAAACTGAGGTAATAAACAGCTTCTTTATTATAACAATTATTGAAATAAATTATTATTATTATGTTTGTATGATTAGTAAATAATTATTAAATTTAATATTACCTATTTTTATATTATACATTATTTTGATATTATAAACATGGGTGTCAGATTATAATGATCACTATCTAATTAGTATAGGCTGATCAAAATAAACCTCATTAAAATATTTACAGTCAACAAAAAAATGCTACAATATTTATGTACATTTACGATTAATAATGTGTTTAGTATCTGTGTCCGTGCATGTGCCTGTCTGATTGTTTGCCGATTGAGAATCGATCGCTGTACTCGTCGTGGTCCGAGTGGGGCACGGCCTGTGGTGGATACTTCTCCGTCTTGTAATGTATTTCTGGTGTGGCACCGAAGCTCTTTTGCCAATGATGTGTCCAGTAGTGATTTTGCATGGCTACCTCTTTGGGCGTTTTGGCGTCCCTGCATACCGTTACACAGTAAATCAGACTGCCCATGAGTGTCAAGAAACCGAAAATGAGGAATATTATGCCCAACACCCTGTGAGCAAAGAACAAAATCAAACTTATAGCATTTCAACATAAATACAAAATGCGGATATGATGGGTAGGTACCTATATTTTATTATTTAAACGCATACTTAATTTCTCCGCTTGATGTGTACAGTGTTAATTATGAGGACCCGTCGGGCGTATGTACACGCTCCGTCTTATAGGAGTGTAACATCAAATTTTACGTTTAGTAGTTCACCTTTAGCTCAGTTAGCTTAATAATTAGAGTGAATTGACCTCTTATTAAAATTAAAGATAAGATTATTACGCGGGGCTTCTCATGGGCTTTTTATTATATTTTAATTTTAAAGAGAGTTAATTTTATTAAGAGGTCAAATCACTCGAATTTTTAAGGTAACTGAGCTAAACGTGATCTGCCGAACGTAAAATTTGATATTTAACGCTCTTGTAAGACGGAGACAACATATGTGGGTATAGCGTCCTCTTAAGGCAACTTCTGCATTTTGTTCGGCAGTTTATAATGTTCGCACTGATTGATTCCTAATATTCCTATACTTTTACGAACATTTACTTTTTCAAATGTACGTAATATTTTATCCTATAGATAATAAAATCAATGAGTTTCGTTCTGATTCTAACTTACAAAATTAATTACACGTCGTAACAAAATACTGAAACTACTTATCCCGCTGTCATAGGTACTAAGTAGGTACACACGACTCGTGTCGAAAATATGTAAATTATGACCCCGGCAGATTAAACAATAATTATTGTGCTTGGGATTTTTCTTCTGACGAATAATCGGGTAATCATAGGTACATAAATTTATTTTCTAATTGAAAAAAAGTTAGCAAGATTTATAGAGAACCTATTTTTAATTGTGTATGAGTATATTGAGTGGACAGTTAAACATTTTAAGTATATAGTATGATTTCCAACCGGCAACAACTGCACTGTTTTCACCTATACTCTTCGGTGCTTGACTTGGAAAAATGAAAGTAGATGGAGGACTAATTACTTTAAAAAAAATAACGTCCCCACATTACTGGTTAAACGTCATTGAGTCGTAAGGGATAAACCCCCCACCTTCTAATACGCCTATTTAAATCATATCAAAAATATATTTATAAATATTCAATTTAAAAAAAAAATAATAGGTAATTAGTAACTACTATACATATTATATTATAGTTATTAATAATATCAAACTAAAAATAATAATAAAAGTAAATCAGTGAATGATTAGGTAATAATTAGTAAATATTAGATAACCATCTTATAGATCCGCGATTATGAAATAATCCATACGACGAATTATGATGGTGTCTCGCGCATTTTGATAAAAATGCCGAATAATGTAGCATCTCGTGAATTCCGCTTAAAAATAATAGTGAGGCTAGGCTAAAATTTCTGAAAAATTAGTTGGGGTACTCCGTCCCCTTGCGTTCACCCACCAAGTCGAGCACAGCCTATATTTATGCGGACATGAGATGAGGTAACCGGTAAACAGGTAATTAGATGGTATAGTCAGTAGGTACTCACCACACGAACAGAGGTTCAAAAAATTGTATAACGATGACGAAACCCAACGTGACCAATATGAGTCCCAGGTTGAGCAGCAGCATCAGGCAGCACATACCCTTGGTGTTCGGGCAAAATGGATTTGGCGCCGACATCGTTTCAATAGTCATGCCTGGTTTGCGTGTGATCTTGGACTTGACCGTCGACACTTCGGATGGGGCAATACCGTTGCTTCGGTACGAATAGTGGCTGGGAGCCGGCCCCCTGCTCCTGTTGCTCCTGCTGGTGTAATGAGATCCACGACTGAAAAAAAACATAGGTACGTGATTACTGATTATTGTAGTTGTTAAAATATTGTTCCCTACCTATCTGACTCGATCGCCGCATATTATTATATAATATATGGGTAGACTTGGAACAAACGCGCACTAAACAGATGAAACCCTTTTCCCCTCCCGCGCGATCATTAAATGTCAAGTCATCTCGTTCAAAGGATTTTTACTCCCCAACATTAAAAAGGAGTACAGTTCATTTGTTTAACAGACACGGCACTCACTTCGAGTGGTAGCTGTAATTTTCTTTCTATTGCACCTGCACAAATTAACATGGTAAGTCCTATTTCAATATAAGTAGGTTTACATTATTCAAGCCTCCCCTCAAAAAAAAAATTGCTCCAATACATGCCTAAATAGCGCAAACGCACAGGTCTAGTTAATGTCTAAAAACTATACGAAACTAAAGCCGAACTGAAAATAAAACTACGACCCAATAGTCCACCAGCAATAAATGTCTAAAATTCCAGATCTATTTCTTCTCACCTCATTTCGGACGGCGGCCTGTACGCAGCGCTAGTCACGTAAACGTCCGAATCATGGTGGCTGGCTGCTGACCTGGCTCTGGAGCTGCTGGACGGCCTCTCCAGGCTCCGGGACCGCTTCGACCTGGGTGGCGTCCGTTGACCGCGAGACGACGGCCTGTCTGTGGCGATCGTGTATTCGGACAAAGTTCTTTGGCTGTCTTCACCTACGTGTGATGTATGCCGTTATAGGTTTAATCATAGGTTTATGTACATAGGTTATATATATTATACTCATAGGTTTGTTATACAATGGTAAAATTGGAGGATTGGGGATATATGGAAGAGAGACAGAGGCTAGGTCTTGTAATAATAGAGCTCTCGTACTACATTACTTTTATTTTGAGGGAACCCCGAATCTAATTATGTTTTTTTAGTACGTTCTTTTCGGAAAAAAATATTTTAGCTTAAAATTGTATTATTTTGATAAGATTAATTTCAATTTGAACTGATATGATTCTACTTATTATTATGCCTATGTTACTGTCTAACAGTTATAGAAAATAATTTAATAGTATATTTAAAATAAATACATATAACATACCATACATAATTCAATTAATTACAACTACCTATTTTATTAAAGTGATTATTCTGAAAATATTAATTTACAAAACGCTCATAACTCATAAGTAAACACTCGCAAGTCGCAGCCGAGTGCATATCGCAGTCCAGTGGACATAGTGTAAACTGTAAATTATGTATATAGAATACTGTAATTATTTTTTTGAAAAATTTCTATTTGACGTGTGACCAAGTCAAGTTGAGTTCAATCGTTTCAATGGACACATTCGTTTTTTTTTCAATTCTCCTTTATTTTATTTTTTAAATTGAAGCACTAGTTGTAGATAAGTATATATCGTATATTCGTATATATAATTCGATCCCAAAGAAGCCAAAAGTCGTGTGTCCATTTTATCTATAAATTATTCAATATAGATACCAGGTAGGTACTACCTACCAAAGAAGGACTTTCATGATAGAAATATGACGTTAAATTATGTTCTAAAAAATCAATTAATATTCTCCCTATATTTTATCCTCTCAAGTATTATTATTTTAGCATAATAAGTGCATACGCCCAGCATTTACATTTTATTAGGTAGATATAGCCATATAGGTATAAAATATGTTTAGTAACATAATTATGTTATCTTATTATTTTAAATTTAAATTAAAATTTTAAAACGGTTAAACAATTTTTCTACGTTCTTACCATCGGTGGAATATCCTCTGTGCACATACGGTAGCGTCTCCGTTGATCTGTGGTGGTTTTTGCTGCTGCCGGGAGTGGCCACGTAGTGATGTTTACTGATACGTTTCACCATTTTGTTGAGTTAAAAATGACGGGCTATTCAAGATGACGCGTTGGACCTTTAAAAAAAAAAAAGTAAATATAATAATGTATATTTTACAAGCCATCGATATTGTGTATCATACAGTTTGGAATCCAGTACAATTAGGGTGAATGGGAGGAGGGGGTTAGGAACATAAAATACAAAAATATACAAGTAATTCATTGAAAGTGAGTAAATTTTTTTTAGTCTAATATATATTGACAATTTTTACTAAGAAAATATTCTATATTAAAGACTGTACAATATTTTGAACAAGTAAAATTAAATAAGGAAGCTTGAAAGATTTTTGAGCGGTTAAACCTCACCTAGCCAACTTCAACCAATGTTGGGTATACATAGGTATCATATTGTACATTGTTGTTAGTTAGTTATAACCGGAAAACTTAAATATATTTAATAATGTAATGATTGAGTTCGAGGGCATTTGTAAAATGCACCACTCTAGGAATACATTATTTGGTATTAAAATTGCCTAGGTTAAACCCCTTAGAAGGTGAACGTCAAGAGTTTGTTTATGGAGTTAACTCATACAAACCAACATTTGATGCGGTGCATTATATTGTGTTTAATATTTTGGAGCCCATTTAGTCACATGATCTATATTATATTTTCTATAAATATAAGAAATTAAGAAACAAAAAAACAGTCAACACTGAAAACACTGTCAACACTTATAAAAAGAAACATACCTCAACACAAGTGAGAAATCGTTTTGTCATACGAAAATAAATTGTAAAATAACAGTTATAATAATTATAACTCAAGAAATTCCCAAACGTTCTTCGCGCCAAGTAAGAATTAATATAACTTAAAACAATGGCTAATTGTAAAGTCGTATACGTAATGAGTGTCACAGATATTATATTAAATAGTGACGTGAGCTGAATAATTTATATGCTCGTTTTTCGTAGTTTAATTAAAAACGGTAAATCTCATCAGGAGCAATTAAAGTTAAAAACGTACAGTTAACAGACGTTTAGTTTTATCAAAAAATACGAAAAACATATAAATCACGAATTCAAAATATAAAATCAATTACACCAATATTTAATTAAAACAGAAGTTATGTAGGTACACTGCGATAATTAAAACGTAATCCGTAAAAAATTAAGTCACATGAGATCGAAAACAATAAGTAGGTACCCATGTAAAATATAATGTCGCCGTCTGCAAGATACACAATAATATAATATAGGCTTTCTTTAGTGAAAATTGGTTTAAAAATTATATCTGAGTATTTTGAGTGGCTACAATATACGGACATAGGTCAATTATATACTACAATCGTTCGTCGTTTTTGAGTGTACCTATATACATATCCTACCCTCCAGAAAATTAAACCACGCGTGCACATATTATAATTTTTCTAAATATAACATTCTAAATAACGCTCTGGCCCAGATTTTTCAGGTCGTCCCAAGTATTATAGTTATTGTCACAATAATCTGTCGTGGATCGTTCCGTAGTACGGTTATTGCCGAGACACGCGCGCAGATTACAACAATCGATAAGTATCTATATAGGTAGTACACAACACTAGCTGTCTTAGGTGTTGCTGTATAATTTATAATTACCACGGGGTGATTCAACAAGTATTCCTTTTTCTTCTCAATGGTGTTGTGATGTTTGATATCTTATAAATATAGCAGCTAGGTATTAGGTACTAGAGTTTGGATGATATGGAGGCTATGGTAATTTTAAAATTTTATGAGGAATTTATATTAGAACATAAATATTTGAATCTAAAAAATGGTACATGCATAATAAATACTGCATGTGACGACCGATATTAGGTAGGTATATATCTATTTTATATTTTTGTAAAATAGTTTTTAAGGACAACCTATACATTATTATTCTTAATATAAAAATTTAAATAACTGATAAACTATTCGAATTAAATTTGAAATACCTAATTCACAGTAAAGGAGGAGAGTTCTCCTTTGAAAAACGGGAGTTTTACCGTCACATAACACTCTTACTACTTAAGTAGTATGAAAAATCTCAAGAACCTAAAAATAGATGGTCCTTAAGTATATGTTTAAAAATTCAAAAATCAGAATTTGAATAAATGTATTATTTAATGAAACAATGGGAGCAATTATGATTGGTGAATCACACTATGTATATTATAATTATAAATAATATTAGGTATATATTATAACGACAACTCAAATCTCCATCTCTTTTCTCCTCTATACGGTCCGGTTGGTCGCACCTGTTGACGCGGAGATTCCGTTATGTAAATGTCACGCAGTTAGTATTGTTTAGTAGATATATAGTAACCTATCTCTACGTAGTTTATGAACAATGCCTAAAACGGTGTCTACAATGTGCCGATGCGGGGAGGGTGTAGGAGAGGACGATTGGCGGAGAAGGAATCAAAACTGTTAAATAATATTATAATGCAGAAGCGGCTATATTATTGTAGGTACACTACAGCACTGAAATCATTGTGTTCACGACATTATTTTATGGGCACGTGTTACAATGTTATGAACGTATCCGCTAGGCGGATTGGTTAAAAAATAACAAATATCTCAGCAGTCAGCATACCTTGAAACGAAATGCGCAATTCAACAGACAATTTCTTCAGGTGGACAGTGGATTATGAAAACGTTATTATTTTAAATGCATAAAAACATTGACTTTTGCTGTAATGAAAGTGGACATTTTATTTAAACTGATTTTAGTTATTATGATGAGTAGTAATGTCCAAAATTGTAAATGATAGAATCACATAATATGTTAAAACCATTGATAGTTACAGTTTCTATATAATTTCCATACATGTTACACTACTGAAAAATGGTAAACCTACATTTGCAAAATATAGATTAATAAGTAAAAACGAGTATGCTTCAAGATCATTAATCGTCAAATTAATCAGCAAGTATTTACAGTAATGAACTAGACGATTTATTTTAAAATTCAATTGTATAAATTATGATAACGCCTGACATTCGCTTTTTTAAAGGGTTTTGCATAGGCACTAATTCAAAATTAAAACATTTAAAGTGGCCCTCTATAATAGTTATGGAGCATAATTCAGCATAATTATGAAATTATATAGAAAACAGGTTTTTTGTAGGAAAGAACCTAGAAGAGGATATAAAAGTGATTTATGAAAAAACAAAATTTTCACCACAAAAAAAAAGACAATTTTCATTTTGCAAAATAGTTTTTAATTTTTAATATAGCGTTTGCGAAAGAAGTTCTTTAAGTTCAAGGAATATACAAATAACGGATTTGTAAACAATAACTATTTTTTTCGTATTAGTGATATGGAAAAAACGATATACGAAAAAAAAACCAAAATGATAATATAATCAATATTTTTACGATATATCTTTTTCTTTATTCTTTAACTGTTAATATATAATTTCAGTATAATAATAATTGATAAGTACTATCACAGAATATAATTAATATTTATATATGATCTATGATGTTATGACTTATGAATCTTAAAATGCTGGTAAATTGTTAATACGCTTCGTATATAAAATAAAAGTTATAATAAAAATGAATCTAAATTAATTTAAATACATACATGCTCATGATCCGTTGTAACCAAAGGTTCAGTTTTAATAATTGTAGTTCTCAGAATACCTGTCAATTAAGTGAACTTTTTTTTGTACTTCTCCATGTATAATATTGTTTTCCGGCATCTTTTAAGGTTTACATATAACCTTTGTGGCAAAGCTTATCTGCACCCTTATTTGATTTAATAATTTCCATATTTTAAAATATTAAATCCAGAACTTAAAAAAAAATAATTTTCAAGACACAAGACACAATAACACAATACAGTAAAGTCACAGTCAGCACAATGATCAATAGTGTATTTTTATATGATCTTCATATTCCCCCAATTTCAACTATAAATCTTGACAGATTAACTTGTCACTTGTCAGACTTGCCTGATTATATTGTTGAGTTATTTTTAATTTTCGAAACCAATAGTATATCTACAGGGAATGTCTCAAACTAAAATGTATGTAATAGCATACATAGTGTTTTGTATTATTATTGTCTCTATTATTATATTACAGTCGATCTATCACTCATAAAATTGATACTTGTAAAGTTGGGTAAGTATAACACCAAAAAGTGACTAACTTGCTCAGCTTTGAAAATTGGATAAAATAAATAAAATAAAATAAATTGTTTAATATTTGAACGTATAATTAATTTATATATAAATTGTATTCGTTATAATATTGATAACACAGCAATAGATTGTATATTATTATATTTTGTGATTATACTAATTCTCTGATTATATTATTATCAGTTTGGTTTTTTTTCCTTGGTTTTTTTTTCGGAATTCGGAAAAAACAAAAACGTTATTGCACGGTAAAAGTACTTGAAAATGAATTCTTTGCAGCGAAGGCGGGAGATAGGTATAAACATATAAACTATAATACACTGCAAGTGTTATAATTGTATCTGTCTCCTCTAATGTCTTTGATGTATGCAAATACTAATATAAATAATAATAAAGCCTGCAGGGCGTACTTTGGGGTAAGCAAGGTATACATTTGAGTGCCTAAAATTCCGTATTATGATTTTTGGCCAGCTAGGAACATCCGATTTTAAGATTTAAGGCAGTGTTGCAATAGTTAAGAGCTAAAAACAAATTAATTAAGTAAGCCGTGAATGCAAGGATGGCTTTTTGAATAATTATTAATACTATAATTAATACTTCCCCTATCCTCATCAAGGGTAACTCGAATCCAAGTGTTATGTCGTCTAATCTCCTATTAATTGAGTCAACTGTAGCCATTAATAATGTCAAATATTTCGAAAAAATGACTTTACTCACAATTTTCGACGTTTTTATGTACGCCATTTACATGTTTAAACTCTACATCGGCATATCACAGATTTTTGAACTAGAAAAAGAAGATCTTTATTTCTAAAAACTCCGTAAACAAATAATCAAAATATAATACATCATATACAAACAAAATGATTGTTACCCACATATATTATATACCTAGACAGTTAACC